TTTCATCATTATCATTTTCACCTTTGAATCTCACTGGCCTGTATAATCTTGTTCATTAAATCCATCTCTTTACAAAACTTATAGCTTGCACGTCTTAACGAAGCCATTCACATACCTGTTTTACTCCCAGCCTCAGCTCAAAAAAGCTCAACCACAAGCTCCCTCTCCCAACTACTCTAGCAAGTATCTTTATTTTGTCTTCATGCTCATAGCCAGTAACTTTTATTTATGACTGAGAAATACCACCTCACTCTGCTCCCTGAAGGTGCTGTTGGGAGCATATGACAGTATCTGCTTTTTTGTAAGCTCTTCAAAGCAGATTCTAATAAGAAAAATTAGAATACACATTCCATGCACTGTTGTAATTACAATAGCAGAGTTTGGCACTAATGCCACATTATCAAGAGATGAGGAAATATACTGATTATAGAATCACACTCTGATTCTATCAAGTTGATCTAGTGAAACATGTCCTTGCCCATAGCAGAGGGGTTAGATTAGATGATCTTTAAAGGTCCCTTCCAGCCCAAACCATTCTATGATTCTATTATTTTCAACACAATACTAATGGTAATTTTTTTTTAAATGTGGTATTCTTAATTACTAGAAACCAAGTTTATTAAGTTGCTTTTCAGGAATCAGTGGTCCTTTTTTTCAAAATATAGGGTCTTCATCATCTGTAGAAAGTTTACACTATCTCCTGCTCAATTTAGCCAGCAGATTCATCTGAAGTATAGCGTTCTAGTTTAGCTTGAGACAGGTTAGTTATTCAAACAGTTGAAACCATGTTCCCAAGATAATATTAATAAATTATCTTTCCAAACATTACTCACAAGTCTTTTATATGTTTAGTATAATTATAGAAACATGTGTCCCTACAGCATTATTAATTATTTTAAGCTTATAGTTATTCTACAGTAATCCTCATGAACTAGTATGTCAGTGTTTGAGGCCATGGTATATGTTCTCTGCATCCTTATCCAACCTACATGGCAGGGTTTATTAAAGATGAAACAGTATGTTATAGTGCATTTCCATTTCAATTTTTTTTCTTTCTTTAGGTTAAATGAAGGAGATGCTTACTATGCACTCAAGGATTTTTCACTCCTCATTAAGTCTATTGGGTATGATAAACTTGTGCTTTTTAATATACAAGATACATATTTCATCTTTAAAGCAACTTAAAATGAAACAATGCTTTTTTTTTTTTTATTTAAAAAAAAAAACACAACAGAACATCGCTGAGTGAACTGTGTGATGATCCAAATGATAATGTTCTACTGGCATTTCAACAACTGGGTGAAATCTATGAAAAGAAACTGAAGTGTGGCACCTGAAGAAAAAAAAGAAAAAAAAAACCAAAAAGAAAGCAGCAGCAGCAGCAGCACATAGTACTCTCACCACACAGATCAGCTGCCTTTTAAGTTAGGAAGTGACTAGGTATGAGTTATCAAATATATTTCATAATAAAGCTTTAGTAATATCCAATATTAGTAATAAAAAGTTGAATTTATAAAATTAACCTTTACACATTGACATGTTAGCAACTAAATAATTGTTTCTATTAGATTACAAAACTAGATAATTGCACATATCTTTCAATTGCACATTTCTTTTTTCAGGCAGTAATATATATGTTAAGACAGCTCTCAAATATACTGAGCAAATGTCATAGTTCTGACAGCTGGTGAGATTAGTAGGACAGCATTGGTAACTTTCAGCCCATTTGTGAAGGATGTTCAGCAATTACTTTCGCAACTATAATCAAATAAATTGTTCTAATTATTTTCCAAGGTTTCTATTAAGTTATAAAGTAGTACCTTCATGAACCATTATAAAAGTTTTTAAACCAGTCTGCAGTTGTAGTCTACAAATTTTTAAGTATAAAGAGGATTTTATATCAGTACAATGAAATTTGCTTAATAAAAATGTTCCAACCATATATAGAATTGCTTCATTTTTCACCTCCTGTATCCTTAAGACTCAGAAAGATCCAGGACACCTCTAGCATACTTGTCAAAAATTCCCTTGCAATACAAATTGTGTTTAGTAAAATATGTTTCCTAACGATTTGCTTGGGGTTTGCTGGGAAGAACAAAGTTTTCAGCAGTATTTTCGTACTATTCCTGAAAATTCTGCAGTTTAACATACATTTTAGTCTAACTGTAGTCTGAAAAAATATATACATACATACTAATGTTTAGATAACCTAAGAAAATTAGGCTTTGACAACAGTCCTCATTGCCACACACAATTTTATAATGATGACCAAGATAGTGATGTAAACTATTTGCTATTGATAATAAGCAAAATGTGCATTAAGGACAATTCAGAACCCCATTTCTTCGAATTAGCTCTGGTGTTCATCAAATGATCACTGATGAAGTCTTTGACTTAAAAACCTCTTTAGGCAGCATTAAACTACATGCAACATGTCGCTAGGAGGTATTGGGGGGAAAACCTCTATGTAGTCAGGTAGTGCTGCTGAGCTACCATCAACTGACTTAATCTCTTTTTTCCTTCCAGTTTTTTAATATGTGAAACAAAATTATGACAGAAATCAAACCCAGTGGTAGAAAAGACTGTTTTAACTCTGCTTGGAAAATAAAATTTACTCAAATTATTCTTTACTATCTGGCAAACCATGCCATATGTAGATAAATCTTGCACAACTGTTCCTCAACTAGGGTAGAAGTAACTTCATTTAGACCTTTCCAGGTTCACATTTCCCAGTATAAACGGAATAACCTTTTTTGCTAAGACACAATTAATTGACCAAGGAATAAAGTCAGAAATTGTTCCTATTGTATTCTCAGTTATTTGACCAGTAACCATGAAATCCTGGGTGAAAAACACTTTCTAGGTCTGTCACAGGGTACTAATTTTATATGCTGAAGACTGTAGTGTCTCTTAAAGCATTAGTAATAGCAGTCAACATTTCACTTTTAATAATGTATACAAGAAGCACCTCACACCTGTTACAGCTTTTAGTAAGGAGTCAATAGTGAAAGATGACCAAATGCTTAAGTCAAAAAGACCAAGGAATCAACTTGTGAAAATATCAGAAACATCAGTAATTCTACTGATTTAGTATCTGGGTGGACTATAATTTTACTGCGACCTATTGTAAATAAAATGTCCTGCTTACCATTTATCTCCCTTGTAAAACCTTAATGCTGAATTATAATGCACTTAGACAACAACTTGCCACTCTTGAAAAGCAGTCCTAGGACTGTATTGAACCCCCACACCAACAACTTCTGCTTTCAAAAACTGTAGTCTATTTGCTTTATGATTCTATAATGGTGTCTTTTCACTAGAAGTTGATGTATCTGCTTTAAAGCTTAACTTTATCAAACTCTCATGAAACACTGTAACAGAAATGAACAGAAGATACGTAGAAAATAAGCAATTTTAAGAAACTCACTAGGGTTTCTGAATAACCCTAACTCATTAGGAATTATTTTTCTTTGTCACTGTAACAGAAAACAAACATTTTCTACAACCTTCTGGCAACAAGTTTTATGGGTGCCTTATCTGTGTCCCTAAAATTGTTCCATTTTTCTTGCTTTCATTATAGTGAGATCAACCTCCATCCATTACACACCTGCCATTATCATCATGGTCAGCCTTTGTCTTCCAATAATTTAACTTAATACCTTTTTAACACTTCTCTCCTACACACACAGAAGAACATGACAAGAATGCCTAGAGATAAAAGCAGAACAATTCTTAGGGGAAAACTGAAATACAGTAAAACTTAAGAGATGAACATAAAGAACTAAAACAATAAAGATAATTTTCGCCACCTTCCTTACTATAATGCAAACGGAAGATTAGTAAGTTGTATAAATTCTAAAAATTATTTTTCGGCACATTTAGAGGAATGCACTGCCACAGAAAAACTGAGGCCAAGAATTTAACACAAGTCAAATTAAAATTAGATCACTTCCTAAACCAAGAACAGTATTTCTAAGTATTCTGTCACAATAAGTATACTGGTAAGCCTTGCAGAGATTTAAATTTAAGTAATATTTCTCTTATGAAGTTACAAAGATAATTTGGATCTTTTTTTCTTTTTAAAAGATGTCTATCTAGTTGCCTGTGAAAAATTCTGAAGGGATATTAAACACTCTGATCTAATACTTGCCAGTTGACATAGCTACCTAACACAAGATTCATTTATTTAAAATCTGGCACCAGCTTCTGCTGGAGAGTGAACACTAAATGAAATAAAGCTTTAATCTGAAATAGCACTACCGTCTGCATATTCTAATAGCTAAAGTACAATTATCTCTTGTATGCAACAAAAAGGTTAATAAATTAGAAAAAGATGGTATTTTTATCCTCACTTCATGTCATATTTCACAGACTAAAAATTCAATGAGTTCTGGATCAGTGAGAAGTGCTGTTTTCCTTTTTTGCTGTCATTACACAAATTTTAAAGGGAGATTTTTTGTGTTTTAAAAGCTAGATTCTCCTAATGCTTTCATCAAAACAGCAAGTTAGTATCTGTCCACTGGTTCCAAAACTGTTGCCAAGAGGAACTGAAAATTAGTTGTGACTGTTACTTTTCATAAAGGCAGCGGTTCAGAAGCACAGCTGACACCCTTCTGCAATGCATAACAAGAACATTGATGTAGTGTTTCGATTTCAAAAGTGCAAGAGAAATTATTGAAATTACACTAGAACTTGTACCTTCAGTATATATTAAATACATCACAGAAAAAAAGAAAAACAGCAAAAGGGAGATACACAAAGCAATTTCCAGTAATGCCCTTCAACATCCTTTGTTTTCCCCATGGCTCTCCTCCCTCCCTGCCTATGAGGTGAATGCTATTGTCTGTACTTTCTGATTTAACCCTAGTGCAAGTGCTGCTGTACCAAAACAGCAATATACTGCTTCCTGTTGCTGAGGCTTCACTGAACCTGCTTTCTGGGACATCTCCGTCCTCCACCACCCACCCACACCCACCCCCACCCCCACCCCAGCAGTACTTCTCAGGTGGTCTGCATTCTTAAAGATACAGCATACATGGTCATACTTGAGTCTTTAACAAGACATGACATTTTTGGTTGTTTCTTCAGTTTGGGTTTGCACTATAAAAATAACTTCAGTACATTGTACTTGCTGATAAGCAGTCATGTTTCTAACACAAAGGTACCTCAATTGGCAAGAATCAGGGAGAACAACAGCTGTAAAATCACAGGTATCCCCACTTTTTAATGTGTTAAGTAGCATTTATTTAATTCCAGCTTATTTAAGTATAGTCATCTTCCATTTCACTCTCTCTTCATGTCTCTGATTTTCTTCTAGTGGATATTTTGTCTTCAGCAACAGAAAAATATTCTGATGCACTGCTGGTATCAGTAGAGATAGATGTTTGACTTAGCTCTTCAGTGTCAGAATCGCTGTCACTTGGCATTCCTCCTGCTTCATTTACCGTAAGCACAGAACCTCCTAAAGATGGATCATTGCACGTGCCAGGAACAGAACAAGCTGCATTCTGAAACTGTACAGACTCAGGTTCATCTTCCCTCCCAGGACAGGAAGGGTTGTTCTCAGCAACAGTTTCACTTCCTTCATCTTTTACCTTTGTTTCTTGTTTTGTTGTTGTAATAATAAGTTGAGTGGAAGATGCGTTCTCATATTTAACAGGAAGGAAAACTGAACAAAAAGGCTGACTACAAGAAGAATTACTATCAGCAAGCATTTCTGCGCTTTCAGTTTTCTGAGATGAGTTCACAGGAAAGAATGAACCTTCACATTTTGGATGACTATGTCTAGAAGCAGGCTCTGCACACTGTGAAGATACAAGCTTCCCTAGATTTAGAGGTGTTTTGTCAGATTTTATCTTCTCTTTTTCCTTTTTTTCAGTACTATTTCCAGACAAAAACACAGAGGAAGTCAGCGAATCAGAGGTATTTCTGATAATACTTCCAAATGAAAATACTGTTGAAGGCAACTGGAAACAGTTATTTTTGAAGGAAAATACACAGTTACTGGGGAGAAGGGGGGACTCTGAGACATCATTTATCCCAGCTGCAGTGTTGGGTTCTGAAGTACTGCAAGCTACAGCTGTGATGGATTCTGAGGCATTAGCTTTCTGTTCCCATGAGACAGTTGGTTTCTGTGTACCATATTCTGCAGTTTCCTTTGCAGAAAGTGTTTTTTCTCTCATGTGAGATGACGTACTTTTGTCAAATGGCTTCTCAGATTGGCTAAAAAATGAGGATAATGGTAAAACCTTAAATGAATTGCTGACTCCCAATCCTGCAAAACAATCTCTTTCTGAATTGCCAAAGGGAAATGAACAATCTGGTTTCTCACTTTCTGCTGAGTCTACATTAGGACTGGTTGAAGCATCAGAAACTGTGTTTTTTGTTACAGGACCATGTTTTCTAAATTTGCTTTCATTCTCATTATCAGTTTTAACTGCACGATCACATTTTCCTAGATAAAATTGAGGGAAAACATATTTCCTGTCTTTCTTTTTGAAGGAAAATGTACTGGCATCTTTAATAAATCTGGGTAATGAGTTGTTACATGCACTGAAAGCAAAAGGTGAAGCAGAAAGTCTCTCTGCAGAAACATCTAGAAATACTGAATTTGAAACGGTAACATTTACTGATGCTGCTGGTTTTAAGCCAGATGAAGTGCTAGAATTTGTGTCCATTTCATTGGAAACAGTAACTGCCGATGCCTGCATTGGCAATTTTTCTTTAATTACTAAGTCTTCGGAGTTTTCTGATAAGGCTGGAGTGGTTACTTCCTGGGAACTTCTCTCATGAAATAATTTTAAGTCACCATTTGTTTCAGAAAAGTTCATATTTGTGGATGGGATGCTGTGATTACTGGTTCCAGAAAAGCTTCTCTCAAAGCCATCTGCTCTTTGCAGGGTTCCCGTTTTTCCTTTATCTGTGTTATTTGCTTTGGTAGGTGAAGGTACAAAAGGAGTTCCTGAGGACCTATCCTTCAAAGCCTCAGGAGTTACAAATTTATACTTTTTATCTGCAGGTAAAGTTTGTGTCTTGAACTCATCGGTGAGCTTCTGATGTTCCATATAGTATCTGTAACGTAACTCCTACAATTACAGCAAAGAATCCCGTTAAGTAAAATGGCGTGCGTGGATTCAGAGTTTATAAAACCCACATACGGTCCTAAGACTGAAGAAAAGTTTTCATATATTCTATAGCATTTATGATGTATTTTTCCATTGCTGCTAGAAGACAACAGAACACAAGTCATTATGGAAAAAAGTTCTTTAAAAATAATTGAACAAGATACACATGGAACCCTGATGACAAAGTAGGTTTTGAAACAGGAGACTACAGAAAACTGTTTAAAGTCACTGCCAAAACCATAAATAACTAAAAATAATAGCTTAGACAGTAAGTGACAAATTCTCAAGTTGTCATGAAAAATAACCATCTGAAACCAATTTAGCTGGTCATAGTTTTTTTTTTTTTTTACTAGATACAATAACTATGTAAATTGTATTCTCAATGGCAATAAGCCACAGATGTTCTTCAAAATAATACAGCAAAAGAAAAATAATTCTATATTAAAGGACCTAAGCAACTTCTTCATTTAATCATCTGCCATTGGCATTCTCAGAACATACATTATGCAATTTACTGCCAGCCATGCTTCACCAACTGTAACTAGAATAATTCTGTACAGAACAATACTCACTCAGCCACCCACATGGAACTGCTAGTGAGTGAAACAATCTAGTTGTATAACTAGCTCATTGGAAATGAAACAAAAAGAGAGACTGGTTTCAGTTTCATGTCAAATTATCAGGAATTTAGTCTTAGAAGAGTGAATTCTATTATCTTCAGAAAACAGAACACAGGCAGATGACTTCCTCTTCAAATAGGCAGTAGGGAAGCTTGTTTGGATTACAAAGCTACAGATGTGACTCAAAAAGCCACAATAAAATATAAAAATAAGTATTTGAAGTCAGTAGTAAGATTAAGTTCCAGCTTTCTGAAGAAAAAAGAAGAGTAAAATCCTGACAGCTTTAATAACCTAGTCAGATTTATATTCTAGAATTGGAAGGGTAACTTTCTACTAAGAAAACTGAAAAATATTGTAAGAGTTTATTTAGAAAGTTGTGTCATAACAAATAGTAACTTAGCCATACTTACAACAGATGTTCAATCATACCTCATGACTCATATTTTGAAACGCTGACATTTCTGATATTGACATTAAGCGAGTACAGATCCTGCTACCATCTGCTAGTGCTTCCTCCTGTCCTGCTACAGGCTGAAAAATGTTTTGCAGCAGACATTATAGTTTATTTTGATAAGAAAAAATAAACAAAACAGTACAGTGTTGTAGCCCCATAGTCAATAACTTACAAGAAATGTGTTGGGTATATTCTTCTGGTCCTGCCATTGCTTTATGTTATTTTTAAATAGAATATTTTTTGTTGAACTCTCATTTCCTCCAGAAGGTAGATCTATCAGAAAGAATACAAGAATACTAATGGAGAGCATATTAAGTATGGAAAATACCAAAAGGTTCCTGTGCATCTAAACACAGATTCCAATTAAGAACAAAAGTATATTGCCCTAAGTGAGACCCTAGTACTTGTCGAAACTTCTGTGATAGAAAGCAAGTGGCCCACACAAGAAGTTTTCTAAATGCCTGGAGATTCCTGCCCTGATACAAAACCCAACACTTTCTCCTTGAGGTAAAAGCATTTAATTAGAGTGTAGTTAACATTCACACTACACTACAACAAATGCCCATCTACTTCAGCAACACACTTCGGACAGTGACGATACTGGTTGTATAGGAAAATTATAATGATACTTCTCCCAGCTTCCAAAAATACAGCCTAGGGACTTTGTAGAGAAAGCACAGTCATAAAATGCATTTAAAAGCCCTCGATGAATTTAACATCCATTAATTTCTTCAGATGCTTTCTGAACTCTTGCATGCTTTCGCCATGCAGATTGTTTATTAGCAAGCAGTTCCACAAATTGCAGGTTGCTAGAGTGATTCCCCGAATCTTGTCCTATATTAAGTCCTTCTTCCCTACCTTTAACAATGCCTACATTAACAGGCATTAACTTCAAAGCCAAGATTTCATTAACCACAGGTTTGATATCCATCTTCTTTTGAGTACATTCCGGTGGTTTTTCATAGCTGGATGCTATATTCATCAGGTCAAGCTGAGTTTTCATTCTGGAAAGGGAAAAAAAACCCCCAATCTTAAACACTTTTCTTAAGGCTCACATGCCAACAACTAAATTACACCTACCGAATACAAAAAAAATTAATTTTAAAAAGAAATCACTAAAAGGGAGAAGATATCAGAAAAAGTTAAGTCCTCAATAAAATGTCAAGTTTCCTAGATTTTTTTTCTTAAAACTTACTACTTGACGATTCATTTGAATTAGGTTTCATACACAATGGAAATTGCAATAAGTAGTGCCTGTAGTTCAGCAAAAAGATTAAAACACCCCCACTTTTCTTAGTGTACAACACCTGAATCTAAATTATACTCTTTCTTCAGAGGGCATTGCTAATGTTAGTCTCAACCACAACATATTTTAAAGAACTCCATTTCCAATATTCTTTCTTAAACTTTGTTTAAAAAGCAATAAGAAATGTAATTAAGAATCTTTAGAAAAAAAACATACAGGGTATGTGCACTGCAAACACAAAAATGAAGATACTGCAGAATCTCTGTACACACACTTAGACTTAAAGATTTTTGTAAAAGCTTCAGGCATGCTTCAGTGTTCCTGAGTTTAAATATCTAAAAATATCCAATCACCATGTATTAATGAATTCCTATACTCAGTTTTTGCCAGGGAGCCAATTCAAAAGATTTATTATCTCTAATCCCAGACAGTACATCACTAAAATTCTTGACACCTTGCCTAAAATTTGGAATATGGAGCATCCAAAAAATCTGAAAGCATTATAATGTCTTAATTACCAAATACTATTTTCATTTTAAGTTGCTATATCTGACCATATCCAAAGAAACTATTTTCTTAGTTTTTAATCTTAAAATTACACTAGAGAACTAACAAAGCGTGAAAAAAAATATATATACCTTGTATTCAAGCCACAGGCCACCTATAAATAAAACAAGAATTTGTAAGATATGAATGAGTTTTCCTCCAACTCTAAAAAGAAGGAGATTATTGCTTTATCAAAATACTCAGAGATTGAACTCCCTGTCTTCATTTCACAGGACTATAGGAAATAAACCTGTTAACATTAAAAAAAAAAAGAAAAAAAGAGCATACAAATGTAAAAAAAAAAAAGTATGTCTGGGACAATGATTTATCTTGTCATGTTTTGTGTTAAAGACAAAAAGAACTCCTTCAGAGCCAAATGAAGGCACTCAAATCATGAATCATGACCCATATGGTTATCTAATCCATTTCAGATGTTCAGATATTTGTAAACATTCCAATGAAAGACTGTTCTGTATTTCTTGGCGAGGGAAGCCTCTGCTACCTGTTCTCAAGATGCTATTACACTGAGATTAAAAAAAGCTGTCTTTTAGTTTTAATTCAGCCAGATAATGGCAGTATGAAGTGCACTGCGCTGTAGTCAAGTGACACTTCCCAAAGAATGGGAGTAAAAACCTGACTGGATTATAGACTAGCTGCCTCCTTTTAAAAACCCGGTGATCTCACTGAACGCAATCTTAAAACAACAACAAAAACCCACCTCACTGAAATAAGTTGTGTAGCGTTATGAGGGGCAGGTGGGAAGGTGCTAAGTTTAAAGCATACTCATCACTGGAGTCAGAATATTTCTTCCAAAAGTGGGAGTTGCTTTTACTTTGGGTAGAAGTGAAATTTTCCTTAATGAGTTGTTACCAGAAACTTAGTCAACCTCTAAGTACTTTCTTAGCTTCTCATTTATCTGAAGGCAGCAAAAAGACCCACTGCAGAAAACAGCAATATGCTGTAGTTTCTTAGGAAAGCATAAGCCTTGAAATTAAGGAAAACACAAAATTCAGTAGTTATTTAAGTACTTTGCCCCATATCTACCATCTGCCTAAATTCCATACAACTGCAGCCACAGTGTTTGACATAAACAAGATTAAAAGGTCTACACTAGTTTAGGTAACAGTGAAGATTAAGCTTGTGTCTTGGGTTCCTCTAGCATTTATCTCTAAACCAGAAACAGTGTTTTTCTGTGCAGTTCCCTTAAACATTATGAGGAAGACTTTCAGGGTCTTGTATACAGAAGTGTATGTACTACATAGTAGAGCGTCTGTCAGAAGCACCTAAGCCAGCTTTGAATAGGCTGATTTATCTCCATTGCACACCTCGGTGCAAAGTTTACAGTAGGTTTTAAAATCAGTACAATCGCCTTAGGTCAGGTATCCCAACATGGTACTCCACTGTGCAGCACAGACAAGTTATCAATTCTGGCTCCAGTCTTTACCCAAAAAGCATTTTTATTGTCTTGCAACTTAAAAAATGCAATGGAAATGCTCAATACACAAAGCATTTGAAAATAAGTATGAAAAAGCAAATAAATGTGAGAATTTTGAAGGCAGTACTAGTAAATAACTCCCTATCCAGCACCAAGGTAGCTTACTTTCACAGCTGGCAGCATAATACAGCAAGTGTTAGAGCAACAGCTACACAGTCAATATTAATTTCATTAGTTTTCAGTGAAGAAGAAAAGCGTCTACTGAATTCACTAAATATAACTGATAAGCTGCAAAGAAAGCTTTTCAAACTTTTCTAAAATGAAAAGCACTGCTATAAAAAAAGGTATGAAGTGTTAAGTAATTTTAGTCTGTATTTTTCATTTGTTGAATTTCTTTTTCCTGATTCAGTCATTATCATAATCTACAAAATAGCAGGCTCTATATGACATTTGAGGTTCATTATACAACCGATATCAAATAATAACTAAAAGGCCATCACCTCCAGGAAACGCTGAGGATCACACTCATGGACAAGCTTTTCACAATCCTTCAAAAAATTCTCAATGGTCTTCTTGTGAGTTTCCTTCATTTTCTTCCAAATCTGAAATTCTTTCTCTTTTTTACTTCTTTGATTTTCAACATCTTCTAGCAATTGCCGTTTCTTCATTTCCAGGGTTTTGAAAATTTCTCCAAATTCCAGTGCAATTATTTCTGCATCACTGTTCAGCACCATCTAGAAGCACAAGAACATAAAAACAGATGAAAATGCAGTAACGATGTCTATATGGGAGTCACTTCCCCAAGTAAGCTCAGAGCACATCTCTGCCACAAGGAGCACTAGTATACTCCATGTTGTGATTAACCTATCATGAAAGAGAAATAAAAACACATATATAAAAAAATATATATTTCTATATAATATATAAAAATATAATTTAAAAATATTTTTATAGTATACATTCATATATATAAAAAAAATATCCAGCAACTGTAACTCACGTCCGTATCATTTGGTTGACTTGAAATTTCATTCATCAGCTTCTCATTTATTATTCTCATTTTTTTCAGACTGCTGAAGAAGGTTAACTGCAAGACAATTGAAACGCTTAATACAGCTTTATCCACTCCATAAAATAAATACATTTCAGTGGTTATCTAGAATCACATCATGGGATGTGCTGTAAAACATATTAAACAAAGGCTGTGATTCAAAACATCACAACATTTAATGCTTTCCTGGATCAGTACACAAACTTACTTTCACTATTTTGCAAAATATTTTTAGGCTCACCTACAATGCATATTGCTAGAAGGGCTAAAGGGCTATTTCCAAGTTAAAAAAAAAAAAGGCTGAGGGAAACAATGTTGTTTTTTTTTTTAAAAAAAACCCTCTCACCTCACACAGACATCTATCACAATGTAAGTTTTAATGCTGTTATTCCAGTCTGACAAGCAACTGTGTGATAATCGCCTTTTTTTTTATGCCTCAATGATAAAATAGAAAGCTGTCCATAACTGAGTTATTTCTGTTTGGTTTTAAACTAAGATTATCACTGGTTTTTTCCTCCTTTACCTCACTACGGTATCACTAAGTTTTACATAGAGAGTCTAGCGCAAACACTGTTTTCCCCTGGTTTCCTGAGTGACATGCAATTGGTGATGGGAGAGGCAGTAGGGAAATCAGTGCAAAAGCAACTTGTGACTTAAAGAATAGTCAGTGCGGTACTTAAACTTCTATACCTATACTCTTCATCGCTGCCCTGCAGTCGTTTCAATTACTGCACAGCAGAACTGCTGTATGACACACTGCCCTGCACCCAATTTGCATAAGGCATGAAAGGCTCATTCTACCCAGATGGTAGCTATTTTGGCAAAAACCACAACTACTACCACTACAAAGCTGCCAACCAACCATTAGGCCAGGCAGTTGCTGTCTTCATGCAAACAGGAATGCATTTTGGTTTTACATTTACGAACTTATTACTTACCTAAACCATCTATTTCTAAATATGTAATTATCTCTGACCCAAATTGCCTATGCCAGCTCAGAGAGCCTATAAACAAAATATCTGTGGGCGGTTTTTTTTTGTTGTTTTTTTTTTGTTAGTAGGACTAACATCTTCCTGAACTTGGAAAAACTGGATCCAGACATGCAATAAACTCTTAGCATCGGTGCGTTTCTTCGGCAAAGACTGCTAGTCTCGATATTAAAAAAAACCCAAACAAAGCCGAAACCCAACCAACCCCAACTCCTCAGGTGCTTTGGTAAGCTGGGTTCCGCTCTGTGGATACTGCGATACCGCCCGCTGCCCTGTCTGCGGCGGAGGAGGTCTGACGGCAGCAGGGGAAGGCACACCCCGGTAGCCCGCAAACAAATCCCGACTCCCGCTTCCAAGCGGCAGACCCCCTCGCTGCCTCTCGCCTGCCCGCCACACCGCGCTTCTCCCTGCGTCGCCCAGTAAGAGCAGCCCGGGGCCGGTGGGATCCCCCGCGGGAGAGCCTGACCGCCCCCAGCCGGAGCCCCGGCGCGGCGCTTACTTTTTCCTCCTGGTACACAGTGTCTATGAGGTTGACGGAGTGGAAGATGCCTTGGTGCTCCTCAGAGACGCACTGCCCGCACCCCGCCTGGCGGCACATCCGGCAGTACAGCTGCACCAGCCGGCTCGGATGCTTCTGGCAGGTTCCCCCGAGCGCCAGCGGGGAGAGCAGGCCAGGGCCCTGCCCCGGCTCTGCCTCCCCCGCCTTGGCGGCCCCTGCCGCGCCGGACCGGTAGAGCTTGACCACCTCCGCCAGCGTGGTGTTGACGGGCAGCGCGGCGGCGCCGCCGCGGGGCAGCGGGCACAGCTTCCTGCACAGCGGGCACTACCCCCGGCCGCCGGCCTCCCCCCCGCCAGCGCCCG